CTCGGACACGGAGTGTAGCCTCGGCCCAGTGAGATCATCGTCGCCTTCAGCCAGTCGCAGCCGACCCGGAGGAGATTCTGATGGGGGAGAACGTCGGCATCATCGCATCCACAGCGGCAGCATCCCAAGAGCAGAGAACCCCCCCGGCTGGGTGAAGGAGATGTTGGCAGAATTGTTGTCCACCAACACCGAGCTCACGATCGTGGAGCAGAACGTCCGAGATGTGCGGTGGCCATGAGATGTTGTTCGGGCGACGCGTCCACCAGCTCACAAAATCCCAATCATATCAGCTCCTCCACCTCTCCCCCCCCCCGCGCCCGCGCGAGGGCAACCTCGGTAGCAGCGCTTAGCCCCCAGGCGCCGCAAGAGCCAGAAGAAGAGGCCCCTGCACAGGAACCATACGCAGCCGCGGGCACGCCGCGCACGCCGCTCGAGCGCATCACCTCCTCTCGCGGAGGGCGCCATGACCTCCAGACGCCGTGGCGCCCGCCCGGGCGGCGCCACCGCGCGCCCCCGGCGCCGCCCCCATTGGCGCGCTCCGCGCGCCAAGGGGGCGGGGCCCAGCGTTTCTGCTGATCTTGCATGTCGTCCTTGACTCGAGAGATCCGCGCGGTGGTCCCAACATTTCTGTTGATGTTGTGTGTTCGTCCCCGTGACGGTGGCCTCTCGCGTGGCCGACGGGCCCGGGGGCGCTGGCACTCCGGCCGCGCGCCCGCCGCACTCGGCTCGCACCCGGAGTGCGCTTTGCGCCCCGCTCCTCCGCGTCCCCTCGCCCTTCCTCCGCTCCTCGCCGCCTCCTCTCGGGGGCGGAACAGAGGGGGGTGATGACTAGGGGGCGGTGGATATCATGGCGGGGGCCATGATATTTCCCCTGATTTTATGGAGCCTCTTCTTACTTCATTGCGTCCCTGGCCCCCCCTGTAGGCCGCGCACATGCCGCCGGTCATGATTTGCACCCCCCCCTCTTGGACACCCCCCTCTTGGCCGCTCCCGATCCTTGGTAGCGCAGATTCCCATCACAGCCAGCGCAGCACGCAAGGCCATGGCGGTATCCAGCGCCCAGCAAGCCCGGCATGCCAAGCGGCGCGCAGCAGTCGCGCGAGACGCAAAGATGGTCAACGAACGCTTCGGCCAGATCGAGTCTGCAATTCATGGGATATATGAGCAAGTTAGACATGCTGGCAAAGAAGATGACGATATCATCCGAGATCGAGGTGCCCACACCACCAGCACATCCTGAGGTAATTACCAGCACGTCCTGAGCTAAGCCTCGAGACAACGATCACCTGGATCGAATTTCTCCTCTATCGAGTTTCAGTGGCAGTCTACCAGCACACAGACATGATGGTTGACACTGGCATGCCGAAGACAGTCGATCGCAATTCAGAGCTTCAGACGGAGCTGACCACAGACCGGAACAAGCACATCCTTGCGGAAGAATACGGAACACCAGACCATATCGATGGTATTCAAAAGAGGTTCGATTTCGACAGCGGGCATGACGTAGGAGGCGCTGGAGGATCCAGAGCCGAGCCCGATTCCCGTGAAGCCCGAGTCCGAGGAGGACGAGGAACCCGAAAAGATAGGCACCGCCGAGATAGCTGAGGAGACCGGACACGCGGAGGAGGATGAGGACGACGACACCACTGCAGAGGCCTCTGGCGACGAAAAGGTGAGCCTGGGCAGCGGCAGTGACGGAGCGGACCCAGGGGAAGTGACGGAGGGTGCTCCAGAATGCTTCCTGCAACACGGCGAACGGTGGCCCGCGCCAACAGCATCACTAACGGTTCGCAGAGCATCACGAAGATCTGAGTGGGGCTCGGGTCCCCCCGCCGTCGCCTTCATGGCGCGCGCCTGCGTGCTCCGCGCGCGGACGCGGCAATCGGTGCCTTCCTCCTCCTCCTCCTCCTCCTCCTCCTCCTCCTCCTCCTCCTCCTCCTCTGAGTATCGATTAACCGATCCCCATCCCCAGCGGCGTGGCCTTGGCCCCACTGGCCGATTTACCCCCCTAGATGGGGATATAGGTCGTTCCCTTGGGGTTTCGAGGGGTTAATCCCCAAGTGGGGTGGAAAGTTGGTGGGGGTCTCGAAGGGGATGGGGATGGATGGGGGATCGGTTGAACGATACGGATCCTCCCCTTCCTCTTTCCCCCGACTATGCGAGCTCGGCCCCGCCATGCTGCACCGGAGAGAGCAAGCCTGCGCGCGGTGGCCGCAACGGCGGAGCCCTCATGGGTAGGGGGGCGGTGTATAAATCACTTTCAGGAGCCAGCGATGTTCAATAGCGCCACTATCCCCTGAAGGCACAGGGAAAATTCGTCGGCGAGCGTTTGTGAATACGTCTTCGCGGCCAACCCTGGCACCATCAATGAAATTGAGGTGGGTGCTCTCGGGTGCAGGGCCCTCGGCTGTCGACCTGGAGTGCCGGATAATAATTTAAGCGGGCAGCACACGAGTCTATTTTATGGTAACGGGGCGTCTAAAAATGGCCTGTGTGGCAGCTGGGCTAGCCACTCAACTCCCGCATCGACTACAAGGCCATGGCGACGCAACGGGTGGCCGCCCTTTCCCGCGATGCGTGGCGCATGCGCGCTTCTGCTCCCTGGATGCCAACTCCTTCTCTGGCCCTCCGACCGCGGCCGTCGCCAGATCTCCACGCACCAGGGGCTGCAGCGCCGTGGTGCAGGCCTGGGAGGACACGTTAGACGCAGCGCTCCTCCGCACGGCTCCGCGTGGAGAGCTTCCGGTTTGGACATGGCAGATGTCGCCGGCCGCGGCCCCGAAGGAGGCCGGGCGCCGGGAGCGTGGCCGCGCACGGCCTGTCATCCCCCGTCATATCCTCCTTAGGCGCAGCGGCAGTGAGAAGCAAGCAGGCGCCTGCCTCACGGGAGGCCGCGGCACAGGCCTTCCCGGAGGCCACCCTGGAGCAGGCGTCGAAAGTTTGGCGAGGGATGCTAAAAGCGTGGCTGCTGAAACAGCCCTCCCGGAAGGAAAAAAACAACTTCCCCCGGAATGAGGCGCGGCACGCGAAACAGTCAACGGGCTTCTTCCCGGAAGGACGAAGACAACTTCCCGGAGGTCGATTTTAGGAGCCACGGATTTAGCAGCCCTTGCCCGGCTTCCGAAAACGGGGCGTCCGCCCCTTTCATCAGCACCCTCCCCCTCCCTTGATTCCTGGCCTCCCCCACTCCTGCTCGACTGCGAGGTGGTAGGCGTCTTGGCCAAGGCGGGATTCCCTCGATCGGTCGCCGCATGGGTCGTTGCTGGCTGCAGCCGTCGTGGGAAGAGACCCTGCCCGGCCCAGCCTCGCAGAGAAGTGCCTCGACACACCGACGCATTGCCCTCCCCGGGCAAACCTACTCCAGATTTCGTAATAAAGGGAGGGGGGTCTCATTTCGGGGGGGGGGTCTCTTCCAGGCTATCTTGGAGGGCCTGGGGGGTCTGGGGACGATGTTTTGGAGGGTTCTCCCACGGGGGAGGTCTGAAATGGCTTGTCTTGGAGGGTCCAGACCCCCTCCCTTTTATTACGAAATCTGGAGTACGTCACCCACCAATATTCCTCTTCTCGATTGCACATTAGAGTGAACCTGCGCCAACGTGACCTCTGGTGCGGGCCCACTGGGCCCCCCCGATCGCAGAAGGCGATGCGACTGTAGCGTCTTGCGCGCCTGTGTTTGGTCGCCCCGCGGCCCCTCAAAGGCCGCGCACTCAAGGCCGCTCTTCGAGGAGGGGATCGACCACAAAACGGATCTAGCCCAGAATCAGTATTCTCATCGAATCGGCGGACACATGCTCAGAGTTCTCAGCTGATTCCCGAACAGTCTACGCATTCGTCGTAAATTCGGTGGGGGAAATCAGTTTTGGGCTACAGCAATTCTGTCGGCGATCCCTCTCCTGCGTGTGGCCGAGCCTCCCCCCGTGCCTCCTCCGCCCCTCTTGCCCTCCACGCTGGCTCTCCTGTGTCCCTCTTGCCCTCCATGTTTCAGGAGGGACGAAAAACACACAGACACAATTAGTCGTCGATACCCCTGAAAGTAGGGGAAACTCTGGGAAGGAGGGGGGAAGACAACAACCCAGAAGATATGGGAAACTACGGGGAATCCTGCTATTTGTGTGTGTATTTAGTTGTGTGTCCCAGGGCCCCTTCAATGCTGGCTCTCCCCTGCGTCCCCCCCCGCCGCGTCCTTCTGACGCCCTCGTGTCCCGCGCTGGCGTGCGCGGTCGCCGGCCGTCGCGGTTGGGGCCGCAGTCTCTCATCGCGCGTCGCGGGCGCGCCTCGGGACTTTTGCCCGTCGGTCGGCGAAGGCAGGAGGTGTCTCCCGCGTGCCCAGAGCCCAGTCCACGTGCAGCGCCTGCCTGCTTCGGCAACGGAACGTACAGTCGGGGCGCTGAAGAAGGAACGCTTTTCGCTGGGGAGGGGCCCGGTGTTCCTTGATTGTTTCAAAGTTTGCCTCGGGTTTTCCTCAGGGCTTCCCTGGGAAGTCGAGGTTGAACTTATGGGAAAAAGGGGCCTCGTTCCTTATTTGGGGTTCCTTAGGTCAACGCCTCGACTGTAGGAATTCTGGGGCGGGCCCGGGCCCAATCTGCTCCATTCGCCTTCCTGGTTCAGGCTTCCGCCTGCGGCTTCTGACCGACGCGTAGGGTCGACAGGATTCGATCGGCTCGCCCACCCAGAACCCAGAACCCCCTACATCCGCCCCCTTTCCTCCGCCCCTCCCCCAATTCCAGGAGGGGAAACATACACAAACACAATTCACTGTCGACTCCCAAGGGGACATGGGAAAGGTTGGGAGGTGGGGGGGAAAATGAAAAAATCGGCAACCCAGAACATCGAAGACAAGCTGGGGAATTCTGGAATGTGTGTCTCTTGATTTGTGTGTCCCTGGGTCCCTCTGACATGTCTCCCCTGCGCACATCCGCCTTCCGCGGCTGCCGCGGCCCAGAGGGCCTTTGGCAGGTGGGCCCGAAGCAGGCGGACGGCACGGCGGGCCGCGCAGAGCGATGTCCTCGGTGGTGCGGGTGCCGCGCGGCAGGCTGCTGCTGCGCCTCGGTCAGCGGGCGCCGCGGGGGCACGCGGGGCGCCCCGCGCGCTTCTGCAGCGGCGCCGGGGATGGCGCCGAGGGGCCCAAGAAGCCGCCGAAGGGCTTCGAGAAGTTCTTCAAGGGGCCGAGGAGAGGCGGCCGCCCCCCTCTCGCGGCCCCCTGCACCCTTCGGCCCCTCTGCTCGTGCACCGTGCTCTTACTCCATCTCTTTTCCCTCGTGAGCAGCTCCTTTTTGTCGCACCCCCAGGCGTGTCGATAGGGCGGGCTGGGCGTTTCTCTCCGGAACTCCTCACCGATTGTGAGTTTGAAGTTTGACATGTGCAACAGCTTCGGGGAAGGCGGGCGCATCGTTTTCAAGGTCTGGTTCTCATGCTAGCGCCGCGCGCATTCGTTTTTCAAGTGTGCAACAGTTTCGTGGACGAAGGCTGGGTCGTTTGCACAAGGTGGTTCTCGCCTCAGCGCCGCGCATTTTCTTTTCAAACGTCTGCAACAGTTTTGGGGACAGAGGGCGGCTGGTTGTCAAACTGCAGCTCTCGCCTCAGGCGCCGCACACATTCGTCCTAAGCTCATACAGTGGTTTTGAAGATTGAGGGTGGCTCCTTTTGACAATGCAGACATTCGTTCTAATCTCATACAGTGGTTTTGAATATTGAGGGTGGCTCCTTTTGACAACGTGGCTCTCGCCTCGGCGCCACGCGCATTCGTCTCAAAAGCTTGCAACACCTTCCAGGACGCAGGGCGGTACCCTTTTTGTTCAAACCGTGGGCTCTCCTCTCGCCGCGCGCATTCTTCTGAAAAGCTTGCGGCCGTGTCCAAGGTTTGTGTGGTGGAAGCTCCAGGAATGCTTTTCTGGCACGGCTTCGACTGGTCAGGACGCAACCGTCATGTTGATCCGCTAGGTTGAAGTCCCAGAACAGAGGTCTCCTGGCACGATCTGGGATTGCCAGGACCTACCAGGCACGTTTATCCACGGCGTTGAAGGCCCATGAATTGTGTGTTGGCACGATGGGGGATTCTCTGACTGTTGTCCTCTAACGGGTCACTTCCCACAGTGACCATAAGTTACTGCAGGGTCAAACGAGGGAATTTGGAGGGAGGGTGTATTGCAACCTCGTTGATGCGCCTTGGGTTTACGCTGGTCCTCCTCCCTTCTCCCCCTTCTCCTGCTACACTCGACTTCCTCGGATGCAGTCGGTGACAGGTCGAGGTACCGCTCGCTTGAATTTACACGAGCGAGTAGAGCACAGCAAAAGCCAGGCGCAATGCTGAGTTGTTTATGTTGTTCTTCTTCTTCTCCTCCTCCTCCCCCTCCTCACGCTCCTCCTCCTCCGCCGCTGAAGCCACGTGGAGTCTGGGGCACAGAATAGTCCAGGATACTCTCTCGTTCTGTTGCTGCCGTGCCTCCTCTTCCTCCTGGACCTCGTCTTGCTACCGATGTTCCTGCCAATCCTCCGCCCCCTCTGACAGCTGTTCGTCATCCCCACGAGATGGTTTGTCCATTATGCGAGGAGGGGATGCATATTTTCGCGTGTCGCTTTGGCAGGGATGGGGTGTCTTACAGTCGGGGCGCTGAAGAAGGAACCATTTTCGTTGGGGAGGGGCTCCGTGTTCCTTGATTGTTTCACAGCTTGCCTCAGGTTTTCCTTATGTCTTCGATAGGAAATCGAAGTTTAACTTATGAAAAAAGGGGCCTCGTTCCTTATTCAGGGTTCCTTAGGTCAACGCCCCGACTGTACATTTTCATGCTCAAATTTCGCAAGTTCTTGATGTCAGGTATTTGTGATTCCATGGCTCCCGGTACAGCTTGCAATGGAACGCCAATAATCGGCGGCGAGCGACGGGGAGAAGTGAGAAGGAGAAGGCCTTCTGAGAAGTTGGCGGGACTTCTCAGAAGCCCTCGCGCCTTCTAAGAAGATGTTTGTGTGACTCCGCGGAAGGATTAGAAAACTTGTCAGAAGGCTGGGAGACTTCTGCGCCTTCTGACAAGGCCCGGCCCTTCTCAATCTTTCCCGGCGTGCCGCCGAAACAGGGCAGGGAGAGTGATGGCCTTCGCTGTCTTCCTCCAGTAGCGTTGCCGCGCGTACTGGCCACCGCACTCTGGGCACAGGGGCTGGAGGGCGCTTGGCTGGGGGGAAGGGGCTGGGGGGGAGGCCCCCGTTGCCACAGGCTGACAGTCCGCAGGGATGTGGAGAAAACCATGGACTCATGATGAGCTCGATGCGCTGTGCGTGCCTCACTTCGGGGAACAAAAAGTGGCATAAACATAAAAACTCGGAGGTCCGCGCGGATTTCTCGGATCGGCGTTGGGGCCCCCTGGCGGCGCCTCCGGCGCCGCCCCTGGCGCGCTCCGCGCGCCAGGGAGGGGGGTCCAGCGCCGATCCAAGAAATCGGCGCGGACTTCTGAGTTTTTATGTTTATGTCACTTTTTGCTCCTCTATTACTGATCCGGACGCCTTTGGCGAGCCCCCCACCGCGCCGGCGCAACAGCGCAGCAGAAGGACAAGGATGAATTTGAGATATTGTGTTCTGGTGGCCTTCTGCCCATCCCGCCACCGTGCCGCGAATCCGAGCCGACGCCAATCGCAAACCGAGAGCTGCATCCATCCCCCGCCCAGACCTCCCTCTCTCCCGAGGGGCAACCGTGAACATGGGCCAGGTTTCGGTCCGTGTCGTTCTTGCGAGCGAGGCGAAGCTGTGCGTGGGCGAGAGTGCTTCTGCCCGACCGAGGCCCAGGTCGCACCAAGATACGTCGTGCCGGCTCGGGCGCGCCCCGGGTCGTCCCGCGGGTGTCCCGCGGGTGTCCGGGGGCGCGCTCGTGACTGACCCGTGGTTGTCCCGCGGTTGTTCATTGGCTGTTTTGCGGTTGTCCCGCGGCTGTTCCGTGATTGTTTGTGGTTGTCCCATGGTTGTTCCGCGGTTGTCCCGTGGTTGTCCCGTTGTTGTTCCGTGGTTGTCCCGTGGTTGTCATTTGGTTGTCCCGTGGTTGTCCCAGGGTTGTCCCGCGGTTGTATTCTTGTTGTAGCATGTTCGTCCCGCAGTTGCATTGCCGGTGTAACGTGTGTCCGAGGTTGTTCCGATGTTGTTCCGTGGCCGTCCCGATGTCTTCCCGAAGCTGTTGTCTTGAATTTCCCCGCTCATCGTAACAGCGGTAGATGAATGGTGAGACCGACAGAAGCAATTTGTGCATTCAAGGCATCGTTGCCCTGGGATAACGGAGCTATTCATTCAAGAGGCTTACGCCATTCCGCCGACCCCCAGACGACGTGATGCCTCGTGGGCGCCTTGGTGAGCGTTTGGAAGCCTCGTCAGAACTCTGGGCGCTTGCTGGCTGTTTCCTGGACGCAATCGGTTCTTCAAGGGATCGTGGCCTTGGGATGACGTAGCCATGCTGTGATGAAAATCTTGGAGGCCTCGCGCGGCGCGCAATACAGTCGGGGCGCCGAAGAAGGAACCTTTTTCGTTGTGGAGGGGCTCGGTGTTCCTCGATTGTTTTACAGTTTGCCTTGGTTTTCCTTAGGTTTCCATGGGAAGTCGACGCTTAACTTATGGAGAAAAGGGGCCTCGTTCCTTATTCAGGGTTCCTTAGGTCAAGGCCCCGACTGTAGTGGCATCCTCTGGTCCACACGTTGGCCTCGTCGCATGCGGGGCGACGCTCGCACGGCGAGGGTCCGACGTAATTTCGACGAGCCCGACGTGGATCCGACGTGGGTCCTACGTGAAAATCCGGGAGGCCTCAGCGCCGCACACATTCTTCTCAAGCGTTTGCAACAGTTTTAGGGACAGAGGGCGGTTGGTTTTCCAACCGCAGCTCTCGCCTCAGGCGCCGCACACGTTCGCCCTGAGCTCATATCGGGGGTGGACAGAACCCCCAACAGTGACACGTCGATTAGTGAATTGTCCGTTTTCGGTTTTCGAGAGGGCGCCGCGGCCGTCATGTTCCAGGCTTGCGCCCGCCAGGTTTGGGCCCGAGGTCGTTTTCACTAAACCACGTTTTACTAAAGGGAGGCCTGTCCATCCCCGACATAAGCCATGGCTCAACTACGAGGGATTGTGTGTGTGGCCTGTGGAGCACGGGCACAGCGCCCACTGGGGCCTCGGGGCCTCGGGGCCGCAGGTGGTGCCACGCGCGGGCGCGGGTCCGTGGCCTCGTGTGCTGGAGGCCTTTGCACCGAAGGCGCGGACCCATCATTCAAAAGACACGCCAGACGTTGAAAGTAGATATCTCTGGGCTCCCAGGTTCCAATCTGCTTCAAGCGCCTTCCTGCCTCAGTATTCGGTGTGCTTGTGTTGCTTGTGTTACTCTGTGGGCGGGCCCGGACCCTATCTACTTTATCCGTTTTCGAAGTTCGTGTTTCTACCTGTTTCATTCCGACTGGCGGTTGCACGAGGGTTCGATGAGCGTTGGCCTTTGGAGCGCGGACCCTGATTTTTTCTACGAGGGGTCGTGGCCTCGGGAGCGCGGATCTGTTTGGCAATGTATCGTGGGCCAGGGAGCTCGGATGTTTTGCTGGTGCGAGAAATCGTGGCCTCGGGAGCGCGGATTGCCAGGTTTTATCCGTGAGGGCTTCGCCCTTCGCAGCCGGCCTCATCTCTAATTATCAAAACGGGATATGTCAGAGCTATGTTGGTTTGCTTTTGCTCTGTTTTGAAGACGTCCGGGACCATCATGCGAGGGCGGTTTGTTTGCAGACAACAGCATGAGATGTCGGAGTCGTTGTTGAACGGATTAGTTTTCAGCAAACACTTTGAGCGTTTCTTTCAAGTTGTGAATTAGAACCTTCTTCGAACGGTTGGGTGCGGGTGTTGAAGCCATCTCTGGCAAATTCACGCCAACGGATTCGTGGCTCTGGGTCCAGCAACCAATTTATAGCAAAGTGTGGGAGGGGGGGGGAGGCGGGGAAGGCGAAACACGCCTCCCGCACACACAGGAAAGGACAGAGTTTCTAACCTGGAGAGGGGGAGGTGGCCTTTGGGCGGCACCCCTGGGGCGGGCTCGGAGCCTCGGGAGCGCGAACCGGATACCACTTGCAAACGCATCTTGGCCTTGGGCAGGAAATGTTGACGCAATGTGCGATAGATCGTGGCCTCGTGAGCGCGAATCGGGGGCAACTTGCAGGTCGCTGGCCTCGGAGGAAAGAACGATTCAGGCCTCGGGATCGCGAATCTGGCGTCAGTTGCCAGGGCTTCTGGTCTCCGTGTCGCGGAGAGCTTCTCATAATCTACGGGGGATTCGTGCCTCGGGAGCGTGAACCTGGTAGGTTGCGAAGGCCTTACGGCCGGTGCCGCCGACCCTGAAGGGGGACGACGACGAAGACAGCGACGATGAAACTATTCAAAAAGTGAAGGAATGGGGGGGAGGAGTGAGAGGGAGACGGAGGAGTTGAAGGGGTCGGGATTCGGGAGCGTGAACCTGGTATATTTTGCAAGGGGTTACTGCCTCGGGGGGCGCGAATCTCACACCTTTCAACGTGCCGCAGGCCCACCAGAAATTCAGGCAGCGCGGTTCGGGCGTGGTGACGTGGTGCTTTGGGGTTCCCCCTCTCCCGTACGGACAGCTGTTTTTTTTTGTGGGCAGCAGGAAGTAGTTTCCTCCTCTTACTCCTCCTCCTCTTCCTCATCCTCCTGCTTATAACACTGGAAACCGGAGATGGCGCAGGGCACAGGACAACTCATCCGCGCAGCACGTTGGTCCCACAGGGGGGCCGGCGGATGGTGTCTCAGGGCAACCAGGGAGTGTGAGGACGTGGAACGGGGAGGGGGATCGGCGGCGTTCGGGCGTCGCTCCCGCTGAGAATCTGCTACGCATGTCTTGGGAAATTGAGGAACCAAGCGTTCTGAGAACCTGTAGTTGAGCCCAGAGAGACTCATGTGTGCCAATCTTTGGAGCTGCTGGGAAGAATGCGAGGTCACGAATTGGTTCACTGCACTGGCTGGACGTGGAATCAACACGTCCGAAAGACACTGGGCATTGCAAGTTCTATGTGCCTCTGTGACGAATGCAATCCATGTGCTTCGAGTGCTCTTGCGAAAATGTGCCCCATCACCATACACACACACACACCCAGCGGTGGCGCTTCCACACGCCAGTCACAACCTGGCACATCGGTCGTTCTTCTCTTCCTTTTCCCTCTGCTCATCCCACCTCTACGTCGACTCCCCGAGGAGCGCTGGCAAGGTCGAGGGCGAGACGGCTGCAAAGGAGGGGCAGAAGGGGCCAGCTGAAGTGCCGGGCAAGAAGGAAGGCCCAGCTGGCAAGGATCATTGTGGATTCAATGCGGATGCGCTAATATTCCTCTCGGGGGCCGTTTCCGTTTTCCCCAATTGTGCGTATCAAGTTTTCAGGCGAGGTTGATTCGGGTGGTTGTGGTTTGACAAGGGTTGGACGGTGGTAGGCACATAACCAGTTACGCTACCATTTTTCGCATGAGTGACTCACGACCACGGTTATTTTGACGTCCTGCATCGACGCTCGGAGTTGCATAACGTTTGCAATGCCATCCTGAGAAACGGGTATGATCCAGACGGGCAACATGTAAATTTGGTTGTGGCGTTCTGTTTGGAACTTCACCAAAGGAGGGCCCAGCCGGTAAGGGGGAGCCAGCAGCGAAGAAAGGCACCTCGTCGTCTTCGAGCAGCAGCAGCAGCAGCAGCAGCAGCTCTCCGTCGCAGCCACAGCTCAGCCGCCAGAACGGGGTCATGCTGGGAGCAGGAGCTGCTCTCGTGGCGGTCTACGCTCTCACCGGCCAGGGCGAGCCCGCCGAGGAGATCACGATCCAGGAGCTGCTGAGGGAGTACCTGATGAAGGGCTACGTGGACAGGATCCAGATCGTCAACAAGGCTCAGGAGGAGAAAAAGCAAACAGACACAATTAATCGTCGATTCCCAGTAAAATATAGGAAAATATTGGAAGTGTGTGGGGGGGGAAGACGAACATCTAGAAAATACGGGAGAATATGGGGAATCCTGGGATTTGTATGTTTTCTTTTGTGTCACCGGGCCCCTTCAAAGGCGCACGCCAGGGTGCAGCTGAGGCCCGATGCTCCAGGGGCAAGCTCTTCCAGCGGCCCGAAGACCTTCACCATCGAGCTCGGCACGCCAGAGGCGTTCGAGGCCAAGCTCGAGGGCATGCAGGGCGAGCTGGGCGTGTCACCGGTGGACTTCGTGCCCATCCAGTACGTCAGCGAGACTGACATTTTGCAGGTTCTCCTGCCGTACCTGCCATCGCTGCTCTTCCTAATCCCGATGCTCATGGCTGCCCGGGCCATGTCTGGTGGCATGGGCGGGGGGCCGGGCGGGCCTGGAGGCCGAAATATGTTCAGCATCGGCAAGGCGTTCCCCTCTGGGCAGAAGGACCTGAAGTCGAAGGTCAAGTTTAGCGACGTCGCTGGCCTCGAGCAGGCCAAGAAGGAGGTGGTCGAGTTCGTCGACTTCCTGAAGGAGCCCGCGAAATACGAGAAGCTGGGCGCTCGGGTGCCGAAGGGTGGCCTGCTGGTGGGCCCGCCTGGAACAGGGAAGACGCTGCTTGCGAAGGCGGTGCGGCCCACGCTTCCTCACTCGCCTCTTTCGATCGGCAGCGAGCGACGCTCCTGGGGCCCAAAGAGGGCCTCCAGAGGGCAAGAATGGTGAAAACCCGATGAGGACGAGGATGAATGCGTTCCAGAGCGTTCCGGAACGCTCTCAGAGCGGTCCGGAACGCTTTGCGCAGGCCGCGGCGCCCGAGACACCCTCCAGAGCCGCCAGACTTCAGAGATTCTCGATCCATCCTCGTTGAATTCTATAATCGTCTTGGCTTCGTCTGAAAGTTTGGTTGACCCAAACGGGGGTCCAGCGACAATGGAGTGGTGCAATTGATTTGGTGCAATTGATTTGTGGGGTTGCAATAGATTTGGGGCGTGCAATACATTCCGGTGCGCAAATGTATTGCTAGGCTCTCGCGTGCAATGCGAAAGTTGCAATACAATGCAACACAATGTTCTGGCGCCATACATTTGCAATGCAATTGCCCCAAACCTATTGCTCCACTCCCTTTCAGCTGCTTGGGCCAACCAAACTAAGCCTTCCGATTTTTTTGAGCCGCTGGATCTCTAGGAGGCGTGCTGGACAGGCGCTCCACGGCACCCAAGAAGTATCGGCGACGAGCGACGGGTGGAGTGAGAAGGAGAAGGCCCTCTCTGAAGGCGGCGAGGCTTCTCATATGCCCTGAGGCCTTTGTGAAGTTTTCTGTGTCTTCGGGGAAGCCTTGGACAACTTCTCAGAGGGCTGGAGGACCTCCGAGCCCTCTGAGAAGGCCCGTCCCTTCTCACTTCAAGCCCGCGCTCGCCGCCAACTCGAGCTTCGAGCCGCGGGTGTTGTCGTGACGGATCTCCGAGGCCTTCGTGACTCCTGGGGCCATCGCCAGGGACCCCAGGAGTGCCCCAGACTTGTGGCAGGTTCTCGTCGTGATCTGGGCCAGATTTCTCAAGGGGCTTGGCCCAAGGCTTGCAGCAGAGCTGAGGCGGCCAGGAAAAAGGCCTCGCGTGCTTACTTCGCCTTGTATCCCGACCTGGTCACCATACCTTTAAGTCGGGCCTGTCCCTCTACAGAAGGAATGTTCAAAACTAGTCAAAAAATAGTATGGGGACGATTTGTTTCATTATTTTTGAGCATGTTGGGGATATGTTTGGAGTCTTTCTTACTTTCGCCCAAAATCCTTCGGTAGGGGGACAGGCCCGACCTAAGCTTCCTTCCCCCTGTATCCCGACCTGGTCGCCATACCCGGAGCTCCAGAGTCCCTCCTCATCCCTGAAGGCGGTGGCCGGCGAGGCAGACTGCCCGTTCTACTCCATGAGCGGCTCCGACTTCGTCGAGATGTACGTCGGGGTCGGGCCCTCGCGCGTGCGCGACCTCTTCCAGCAGGCGCGCGCCAGCGCGCCGTCCATCATCTTCATCGACGAGATCGACGCCGTGGGCCGCAAGCGAGGCAAGAGCGGTTTCAGCGGTGGCAACGACGAGCGCGAAAACACGCTGAACCAGATGCTCGTCGAGATGGACGGGTTCTCGTCTGGTACGGGCGTCGTCGTGCTCGCAGGCACCAACCGAGCAGACGTCCTGGACCCGGCCCTGCTGCGGCCGGGGCGCTTCGACCGGCAGATCGCCATCGACAAGCCCGACATCAGCGAGCGGGAGGCCATTTTCAAGGTGCACTTGAAGCCCGTGGCCCTGTCGGAGGATCTGGGCGTAGACAGTGTAGCCAAAAGAATGGCAGCACTGTGCCCAGGGTTTGCTGGAGCAGACATAGCCAACATTTGCAACGAGGCCGCCATCTTCGCTGCCCGCCGCAGCGCGGCCACGGTTGAGATGCAGGATTAAGTCGGGCGTGCCCCTCTACAGGGGGAATATTCGAAAATAGTCAAACAATAGTCAGGGGACGATTGATTGACTATTTTTTAGCATTGGGGGGTATTTTCTAGTATTTCTCAGCTTTCGCCCAAAATCCTCTGTAGGAGGACACGCCCGACTTAAATGCAGGACTTCGAGCGCGCCAGCGAGCGGGTGATGGGAGGCTTGGTCAAAGAGAACAGCCTGATGAGCGTGAAGGAGAAGAAGACCATCTCGCTCCACGAGTGCGGTCACGCCATAGCAGGCTGGTTCCTGGAGCACTCGGACCCCCTCCTGAAGGTGTCCATCGTTCCACGCAGCAGCGGCGCCCTGGGATTTGCGCAGTACCTGCCGGCCGACATCAGCCTGTTCTCCAAGGAGGCCATCCTCGACAAGATAGCGGTCAGCCTGGGCGGGCGAGCGGCAGAGGAGATCTTCGTCGGCAAGATCACCACGGGAGCCTCGGACGACCTCGACAAGGTCACAAAGATGGCCTACTCGATCGTCTCCGTCTATGGCATGAACGACAAGCTGGGCCTCCTGTCCTACCAGCAGAACAACTCTGGCGAGCAGTTCTACAAGCCCTACAGCGAGGAGACTGGGCAGAAGACGCTTACCGCTTCGCGGGGGTCACGACCGAACAAGCACTCAGTTTCATGGCGCCAACATCGCAGAGCGGACTTCGTTGGGAAAACCATGGGATGGGCCGGGAGTGTCCTGGAGAATTTCGCTCCGGATTTAAAAGTGGATCTCGTGTGAATTTCTTTCTTTGGTCAAGACTGAATACAAAACAAAAACCACGAGAAGTTCACGTCGTGTTTCGCTCGCCGTTGACAGAAGTCCACGCCAAAAATCCGCTGAAGCACGTCTGCAAGGTCGATGCATCGGGCGAAGAGAACTATGCACATGTACCGATCCTGGCAAGGCCCATCCTTGACCCAGGATCGGTGCATATGCCTTCCTGGCTAAGGTAGGAGGGCGTATGCACCGATCCTGGGCTCAGGATGGGCCTGGCCAAAATCGGTGTATGTGCATAGTTCTCTTCCCTCATACTACAGGAGGAGTATTCAAAAAAAGTCAAAACAAACAGTATGGGGACGATGTTTCAGTATTTCGGGCATTGATGGAGCATGTTTTGAATCTTGCGTATTTCCTGCAAGATCTGCCTGTGGGGGAACACGCCCGACCTAACCCTTGTGCTGTCTGGGGCCCCTCCCTGCCGTCTTGGGGTCTCGTGGGACAGTCCGGTTGCATTGTGGGGCAGTCCTGTGGCCTTCTTGGGCCGTCCGGACCCTCTCCAGGGGCTCCATGGGCGATTCTTCCGGACTGCTGGCCGTCTTGGGGTGATCACGGGGGTCTCTTCAGCCAGCTCGGGCACTCCAGACATCGAAAGATGGGCCCATCTTCTGGGACCGTCTTGGGGCACGTCTGTGCCGTCCTGAGCCCATCTGGGGCCGCTTTGGGGGTCGTCGTGGGCCCTAATCGGGCCATCTTTAGCCTTGTAGGCTCTAGGTCCATCTTGGACGCTCTCAAGACAGGGAAGCGAATCTGCCAAAGTCACACAACACAGAGGGAGATTATGTGCTTGGTTTCTTGAGGGTGCTCTTTGGGGCTTCTCTTGACCAGCTCGAGCCGTCAGGGGGGGGTCTTGAAGCCTCCTCACATGCCTGGCATCGCTCGGACGTGTGCATTTTTTTCGGCGAGAGCCATCGAGGACCATCCTGGACCATAGAGCAACAAAAAACACGACGAAACCTGAAAATGCACGGGAAAAGGACGTACGAGCGATGGCAAGCACGAGCGACGCCGCAAAACGGGGCGGTCGGCGCCGATCTCGGCGCGCAAGCTGCCCTTCGTAAGGTCGCGCGCAGGTGCCCTCCTCCAGTGCGGCGTGCCGCGCCGGCGGCCCGCGCACACGCCGGTCGTTGAAAGTACAGTGAGCGGCTTGAATAAGGAACACTTGCTTTTCAAACGGGGCTCGGTCGTTCCTTAGGTTTGCATGCGTTATTTACAGTTCCTTGATGCGTTATTTGTATAAAAAAAAAAGAGACTTCGTTCCTTCTTTATCGTTCCTTAGGTCAGGCCGATGACTGTATGTATTTTTGGATCCCCAGATCCCAATCTAATTCAAGCGCCTTGCTACTTCCAGAATCGTAATTATTTTGATGTGCTTTGTTGCTCTCTCTCTGGGATGGCCTGGACCCAATCCACGTTGTCCGCCTCCCTACTTCATGTTTTTACATATTTCTTCCGACCGACGCGTAAGCCACTCCGTAAGGTCAGCGTGCCCTCTCCTCGGGGGTGGACAGGTCTCCTACCCTGGCACGTCGATTCGCGAATTGGCCGTTTTCGGTTCGCGAAGGGGGCGTCGCGGCCGTCATTTTTGCGGGTCCGGGTCCGTCGGTTTCGGTCCCAGGCCGTTTTCACTAAGGGAGGGTTTACTACAGGGAGTTTTGTCCACCGCCGATCTTCCAACGTGGCGTGCCGCGCTGGCGGCCCGCGTAAGCCACCGCGTGAGGTCAGTATGCCATCTCGCGCAAGCCCCCTTTGCCTTCGTCGCTCACATGCTGCAGGCCAGCAACAGCGAAATTTAAGAATCTTGCGCGATCTGGGGTCCAACCTGGAGCCGCCCTTTGGGGCCACTTAAGACCTCCTTAGTGGGTTTTGGGGCACTTCTGGTGCAGATGCCCCCCCCCCTGGCACTATTCGCGGGGACCCCTCCCCTGTCCAAACTTGCAGGGCCGGGCTCCTGAGGAGGTGTTTGGCGAGGTGCATGAATGTTTTACGCCAAGGAAGCCCCCCAGGGGTCGGCGAATAGATAAGGAGGCGAGGGCTATCGTCGAGGAGCAGTACGAGCGCGTCAAGGCGCTGCTCAGAGAAAAGACCGATCTGATGCACGCCCTGTCGGAGAGGCTGTCGGAGAGGGAGACCCTAGTGTACGCCGAGCTCCTGGAGGTGCTGGGCGAGCGCCCCTTCGGCATCTCTGACCAGTACCGGCAGTTCGTGACTGCGTCGGGTAACCCGTTTACGGCGGGCATGACCGACGGCGGCGAGGGGGCAGGAGTCAAAGAAGAAACAGCTACGTAAGCATATACTTTCGACACTCCGCGCGGATTTCGTGGATCTGCGTTGGGCTCCCCTGGCGGCGCCTCCGGCGCCGCCCCTGGCGCGCTCCACACGCAAAGGAGGGGCATCAAGCACAGATTCAAGAGATCCGCGCGGACCAGCGAAAGTTTACTCGGCGGCGAGCCTGGGGGGAAGTGAGAAGGGTCGGGCCTTCTCAGAAGGCGCGAAGTCTCCCGGCCTTCGAGAAGTTCTTATCAAATTTCCCCGAAGTCTCGGGGGCCCTCAAACGTGGAGGTGACCACGCCGTGCGGTGAGTCGGTGGGGATTCGGGGTCACCGCACGGTTTTGGGACTCGGGTCAATTTCCGAGGACGTCTCGGGCGGCGTGGGCCTCCAGGGTCCCAAGACCGTGCGTTGACGGACCGTGCGGTGAGGCCTTGCGGTATTTCGAGGTCACCGCACGGTCCGTCACCGCACCGTTTCGGGGTTCCAGAAAGACATTGGAAACTTCTCAGAATGTGGGATGGCTTCTGAGAAGCCCCGCCGCCCTCTGAGAAGACCTTCTCCATCTCACTTCCCCCCCTCGCTCGCCGCCGACTGATGCTTGTGCCAAGGGATCCGCGCGGCCCGTCGTAAGTTCATGCTTGTGTTAAGTCGGGCATGTGTCTCTACAGGCAGAGTGTTCGCGAATAGTCAAAACATAGTCTGGCGACGACTTCTCGTGCTGTTACTATCGTACAAGAGGTAGGATTTTAATGTGTTTCGTTCCTCTTTCCAGATCTATTTGTAGGAGGACACGCCCGACCTACAGTCAACCCGCACAGTAAGGATTGGCAATCTTCCCGAGGGTACCTTTGCATCCTTCCCCTTCGTCCCATCCTTGTCCACTTTTGCTGGCCGCGCCGTGGTAGTTTAGTGGTGCTTTGGTGGTGGTGTGGTGATGGTTTGTGGTGGGTTGTGGTGAGTTGTGGTGGTGGTAGTCGTGGCGGTGGTGGTTTGGTGGTGGTGTGGTGGTGTTTATGGTGATGGTGGTGGTGGCGGTGGTGGGTTGTGGTGGTGGGTTGTGGTGGTGGCGGTGGTTTGTGGAGGTGGTGCTGGTGATGGTAGTGGTGGCGGTGGTGGTGGTGGTGGTGTGGTGGTTGGTGGTGGTGATGGTGGTGGGTCGTGCTGCTGGTAGTGGTGGTGGTTGTGGCGGTGGTGGTGGTAATGTGGTGCATTGTGGTGGTGGTAGTGGTGGTAGTGGTGGTGAAATTTTGTGGTGGTGGTGAGTTGTGGTGGTGGTGGTGGTTGCTGTGGTGGTGGTTGTGGTGGTGGTGGTGATTGTGTGGTGTCGACATGGCCTTCTAAGGCCCTTGCATACTTATCGCGCATCCTTCGTGTACGGCTTGGTTGTACTATCATACAAAAGGGGTTGTTTGACTATGTTTCATGTGTCTTCCCAAATCCGCCGATAGGGGGACATGCCCGACCTAATGCTTGCGCCCTTTAAAAAACTGCCACACCTGGACCCGATACTTGGCGTTTACTAAACGGCCCTGGGCGTTTACTAATCCGGCATGACCTGTTCGATTCCTTCTATGGGCGCGTTTACTAAATGGCTTCGCGTGTCGAGGTGATTGCAGTGGAGGCCCATGCCAAGAAACACCCTGCTTGCCTCCAGGGTGCCCTGGGTTTCTTGACCTCCGCTGCATTATGAGGGTTGATGTGCTGCTCTCTACTCATGTTAAGTCGGGCCTGTCCCTCTACAGGGGGAATATTCAAAAATTGTCAAAAAATAGTCTGGAGACGACGTGTTGAGCTTTTTTTCTGCCATTTTGGAGCATGTTTTGCGTATTTTTATATAGTCGAAAATCCCCGTGTAGGGAGACACGCCCGACCTAATACTAATGCTTGTGCCCTCTTCCTCTCCCTCGGAGGAGAGCACGCCGCCCCCGAGGAGGGCAGCGCCTCCGGCCCCCCCGGGGCCGCCCCTGCGGGCGCGCCGCGGGCGGCGGCCGCCTAGCCTCGCCGCGTGCCGAGCGGCACCGTCTGCTCGGGGGCCTGGGCCCCCCGCTGCCCTGGCCTGCTCCTCCCCCCTCGTCCTCCTCGTCGGTCCTCCTCCTCCCTCGTCCTCCGTCCTCCCTCCTCCCTCCTCCTCCCTCCTCTCTCCTCCTCCTCCTCCCTCCTCCTCCTCCCTCCTCCTCCTCCTCCTCCCTCCTCCTCCTCCTCCTCCTCCTCCTCCTTCCTCCTCCTTCTCCTCTTCCTCCTCCCCCTCCTCCTCCTCCTCCCTCCTCCTCCTCCTCCTCCTCCTCCTCCTCCTCCTCCTCCTCCTCCCTCCTCCTCCTCCTCCTCTCCTCCCCCTCCTCCTCCCTCCTGCTCCTCCTCCTCGTCCTCGTCCTCCTCCTCCTCCTCCTCCCTTCATGGGAGGAAACAAAAAAACACCCAGACCCCGACAATTAGCGTTTAGTGAGCGGCCCTGGGCGTTTACCAAACAGCCCCGCCCTGTTCGATCCCTTCCTTGGGCGCGTTTGCTAAACGGCTTCGCTTGTCGGGGTGTTGATTGTCGGGGTGGCTTTGCTGCCCTGTATCATCCGTCCTCCTTCCTCGTCCTCCTCCTCCTTCTCATGCCTCCTCCTCCTGCCTCCTCCCTCCTCCCTCCTCCCTCCTTCTCCCTCTTTCTCCTGCTCCTCCTCCTGCTCCTCCTTCTCCTCCTCCTGATCCTCCTCCTGATCCTCCTCCTCCTCTTCCTCCTCCTTCTCCTCCCCTCTCTCTCTCTTCCACCTCTGCCTCTCGCTGTCCATCATTCTCACTCCCCCTCAATATGCCTCCCTCCTGCTCGCTCCTCCCTCCTCCTCCTCCTCCTCCTCCTCCTCCCCTCCTCCTCCTCCACCTCCTCCTCCTCCTCATCCTCATCCTCATCCTCATCCTCCTCATCCTCCTCATCCTCCTTCGCCTCCTCCTCCGCCTCCTCCTCCTCCTCCTCCCTGAATAGTCCTCCCTCCTGCTCCTCCTTCTCCCTCCTCCGTCTTTTGCTCCTCCTCCTCCTTCCCCTCCTCCTCCTCTCATCATCTTCGTGGCACCGCTCGAACGTGTGCATTGTTTCGGCGAGGACCATCGAGGAGCAGGTTTGGATCATCCAGCGAAAACATACAATCAAACTTAACGCACGAAGGCAAATCATTTCAAGCAGTGGCGAGTCCTCGGCCACGCGCAGGGGTGTGACTGGAGGGGGGAAGGCTTCTTAGAAGCACCCCTGCGTCTTAGGGGGCGCAGGCCTTGTGTGTAGCCGTGAGGCTGGCGCCTTCTGAGAAGCAGCTTCCTTCTGAGAAGCGTTGTCCCTTCCCCCTACAGTCGGGGCCCTGAAGAAGGAACCATTGTGGTTGGGGAGGCGCTCCGCCTTCCTTAAGTGTTTCACAGCTTGCCTCAGGTTTTCCTTATGTTTTCGAAAGGAAATCGAACTTTAACTTATGGAAAAAAAGGGGCCTCGTTCCTCATTTAGGGTTCCTTAGGTCAAGGCCCCGACTGTACCCCCTTCTGCGCGTCACCAACCTCCGTCGGGCGTTGCCAGGAGCGCCCCTGGCCCAGAGTGCCCCCGAGGTTTTCCAAGGAGGTCCCCAAGGCCTTCAGTGAACTCACGAGGCCCAGAGGGCCCCAGGGACCCCCAAACAGAGCGAACTATCGGTGGCTGTCGCCGAACTATCGGCGGTGTATCGCCGATTTCGCCTGTATGTTGCCCCCTCTCAGCCAGTCCCCCTATCGTTGCCCCTCAGATTGTGAGGATGTTTCGCAGAAAGGGCACAACGTGGTATACCCCACCCCCGCCTGGCCCCCCTCCCCTCTCGGGGGGGGGGGCAGGGCGGGGGTGGAGGCTCTCCCACTCTGCCTTCCCAATTTGCCGAAGCCCTGATCGAGTCCTTCAGAGAATTGCTTGTTCCACTGGCCAGATGCCGGTGGCCCAACTCACGCTGCGTATTCGGGGGGCCTCGCTTGCCCTGTAAGGTGTTGCCTTCCTTTAGTGCCAGGCGCTGGTTCGACGCGGATTCGACGTGGATTCGACGTTGATTCGGCGTTCAACGCGGAATTCGACGCGGACTCGGCATGGATCCGACGTGGACAGCGGCGCGAGGGGCAGACGAGGGCCCCCCGAGGAGTCCGCACAACCTGCTCTCTGAGAGGAACCGTTGGACTCGCTGGTTCCTTCTGGGCCTCCCAGATGGGGCCGGAGCAGATGGGGTCGGAGAATCGTGCCGCATCGGCGATGCATCGGCGACGCGGCTTGATGTGGAGTCCGATTTGTTTCACGTCGACGTCGCCGATGCATCGCCCACGTCGGCGATACATCGCCGATGCATCGCCGATGTATCGGCGATGCCGCGCGATCCTCCCACCCCATCCACTCAGATTCCATCTAGGCGGCATCTATTTCTGGTTCTCAGGCAGTGGCGAGGCGTCCCAGCTCGCCCATAGGCCCACCAAAGAATGTTCTAAGAACGTCTTGTGGTTTGCACGACATGTTCATAGGGCATTCCTGGCTGGGGCTGTCTCGTTTCATCACGTCGGGTTTTATGTTCTCAGAACATTGTTTCTGTTATTGGAACAAGGTTGGGTTCTAAGAACATGTCGTGGCAGGCCCACAGGAACGCCGGGACGTTTTGTCCCTGCTCAAGGTTCTGCCCCTCAGAGCAGGCGGGGCATTGCGCGACTCCCTTCGCTGCCGGCTTTACAGCGTGGCGCGGCCGGCTTGCGCTTGCATTCTGTGGTTCAAAGACAGGGTCCTGAGGGACGGGGGCCCAAGGATGGCAAGGGATCCATGGGTGGAGTCATGTTGATTGAGGCGCCTTGTCCTCAGGACCCCGTCCCTCAGGACCCCATCTTTGAACCGCCGATGCACGCTCCGTTCTTTTCCGCACCGCCCGGCGATGTTCGCAGGAGGCAGTGTGCAACACGCCACCCCATGGAGCGCACGCGAATGCCTCTGTCGTCCTGGCTCCCTCCATCCGGAGGGTTTCACATGGGGAACATGGCCAAGGGGCCCGACTGCGTCGCGCCTTCGGGGGGGGGCCTCGTCTGCCTTGTAAGCGGCGGTCCTTTTCTGGTGTCCGGCGTATGCTCGACGCGGCTTCGCTGCGGTTCCGACATGTAGTCAGAAGTCGGGCACGTCCATCTACAGGAGGAGTGCTCCAGAATAGTGAATCAATAGTACGGGGACGACTTTTCGACCATTTCTCACCATTTTTGAGTATTGATTATGTTTGATGTTTTGAAATTTGTCTTCCAAAATCCGCCTGTTGGGGGACATGCCCGCGGCGGGGACGATGTGTCGTGCTCTTCATTGGTTTTTTCGGCTATGTTTTGGCTATGTTTGATGTTTTGCCAATTTCAAAAAATCCTTCCAAAATCCGTCTGTAGGAGGACATGCCCGACCTGACCCTAACCCCCATGGAATCCTTGTGGCCATGCCGACGCCCAGCGCGGCGCTCAAGGCTGAAGCTTGAACGATCCACGCGGGTCCAGCAACCAGCACGCAGGTCGTCACGACGCGAACCTTCCATGTCGTCCTGGCTCTCGATGTGCTTCCCCCCATCTTTGCTCGTCCATCCGCCTTCTCCGTCCTGCGCCCCCTAGGCCCCCGTGCCTTCGTCACCCTGATTGCCTCGGACGTTCTCCATGCAGTCGTGCTTCCTACTTGAGGTGCTCCCCCATTCGATCGTTCACGCAGCAACGACTTGATGCCCACGCCCTGGACGGGTGCCCTGCCAGGTGACATGTTACCCACACCTTAAGTGGGTATCTCTATAGACGTGTGAGTTTAGCCGGATGTTTATGGTATCCATGTAACACTCTCGCAAGGCAATTGCCGTTGGCAGGGAATCGAGTGCCGCGCATTATTTTTCGCACAGGTTGTGCGAGGCTGGTTCCGCGGATGGATCGGCTGGGTCGTACACGGACAGTGCAGTTGTAGTTTGTGTGAAATAAGCGTATGCGTCGAGCGAGCATTCCCGTGCGACACCGCAAGGCTGGCGCGTTTGCAAATCACGCCAGGGCGCATAATGTTATCAGTGAGTTGAAGGTGCACCAGTGCAAACATTGCGGGTTGACCAGTTTCTTTGGGGGCAGTGTTTGTTATGTTGTTCTTGGAGGAGTTCAACGTCAACGCGTTTCGTAGCGTTCGATGCACGTTGTTGGCATTACGATTTCTAATCGTTGCACCATCATGACGCCCATTCTTCGGAGGGTGTCCAGGGCTTCACTCGAAATTCTCTCGGGTGCTGCGCTTTGGACGCATGCTTCCATTCATTCGTCACCTTAGGATGGCAGGGGGGATACGAAGCAGACATGGTTAGAACGGAAATAGGTGGAGAAGGTGTGCCGAAATTAGTTTGTGTGTATGGGGGGAAATGGAGGGACATGTGAGCAATATGTTCGCTTCGCATCGCCTGGCACAGTGATTGCCCGATGGTGTTCGGCCGAGCTTGGCTGTCTTCGTGCTTTGCTCCGTCCGATTGGGTCTCTGAATGGTCGCGCATCGCTGTGTTTATTAGTATTGGCGAAGTCCATATGCGTTTTGCTCATCCTGCTTGCTGTCCTGATGCATATGCTATGCCGAACGCGGTTCCTGCTGAAAAATACAAAATCGGGAGTTCTCCAGCAAGTGGGTTCTCAAGATTCTATCCAGTGGCCCAGCAGTTTCTCGGGTCATGTCCGTTACGAAGTTTGTCCGCGCTCGGTCACATTTGCGACAAGACAAGTCTGCGAACAGACACGTTAATGGGATTAGGCCATCGGTTATCGCATGAGTTTGCCAATGGCAGATCGGCTCGTGTAGCGGTTCCAGTTTGCCTGACGGTCTTCTGCTTCGCGCTACTGTGCCAGTCACGCCGCAATACATCTTCTCTCTTCCTGGTTAAATTAAAAGATTCGTTAAACGGAATTTGTTTTGGTTTCGATGGTTCCCCACCGTGTTTTGATGTGTGTTAGATGGCTTCGGAATTATGTCTGGTCGGGTACGAAAGCCTTGCCGTGCTGGTTCGAGGACTTACCTAATCCAGCGGGTTGCCAAGTGCTACAGATCTTCCGTAGAATGTGTAGGACTGTGAGATCGGTTTTGGCTTGGGCAGCCTTGGTCGAGTGTGTTTGTCTGGCTCAGTACTCTGTTCCTGTTTGGGCACCGTTTGATTGTGATGGTCAGGCACTGCAGGTTTCTCGGCGGCGCCAGATATGGTCCGATGTCTGTGTATAAGGGGTGGAATCAGCAATGGCACGATCGTGTCCGCTCCACGCCGCCGCCGCCGTGCGTGGATAGAGGAGTGACGACGGATATCGAGATGGCGGCGGTCGTCACGTCAGCGCCCGCCATCTTGCGAATCTACCGGGAGACCGGGCAGAATGCAGAAAGCAAGCGTGCTTTATTGTTGGCACGTTTGTTCCGCGACTTCATGGCCAGTCTCAGCTGTCCTGTGTCCTGCCGCGCAGGTGTGGAACTTATTAGTCCTCCACTTTGTTATCTGCCCGCTGCTTCTGATCACCTTCATTCGATATCCGATCCGTATGAGCCGCGCATGGACAGGGGGGGCCCGAGGTTTCTACCGTGAGTCTGTGTGGTCATGATGGGAGGCAAGCTCCGAAGGTGGCATGGCTAGCTGCAGGGCGATTCCTCGTTCTTCCCACACAGTGATGAGCCCCATACCTCCCGCCTCGCTTGATCGAGCGAGCGAGCGAGAACGCAGGAGAAGGCAATAATGGTCGGCGCGCTGAGCTCTTTGTTCACCCTTGCGCGAACAGCTCGCTCCTCCTCTGCCCAAGAGCCGGACCCGGGGGATGCCGTGAGCACCCCGGCATTCTGCTAGCACCCCGTGCAGTCCGTGAGGACAGCCATTTGCTTGTCATCGGTCGGACGTGTGCATTTTTCTTTGCGAGGACCATCCTGGACCATCGAACACAAAAAACATGCACGAAACCAAAACATGCACGGGAAATGGACGTACGAGCGATGTCAACTTTTGGCCAAGGAAGGCTTGAGCCAGCGAGCGGGAGCCTTGGCGCGCGGTCCGGCCCAAGCTGCCCGACTCGCTGGTTCGTTCGCGCGAGCGAGCGAGCACGCAGTGAGGAGCGGGGCACTTTCGCGGGCTCGACCTCCGCTCGCGCGGCCGTTGCGGCACACGGCGGGTGGCAGGTCACCCGTGGGGTGGCGCGGAGGTCACCGCGCCCGGCGCGTCACCTCGAGAACACAAAGCCCGAACCCTAATATCAATAGGAGGGTGTGGCCTCACTGAGGTCCCCGTCCTTGCATTAGGGATCATAGATCTGGGCGGTGTGGCCTGGTACATCTGGAGAAAGCAAACAGTTATCCCTCATGTTTTGGCCTTCCTGACTTAGGTCCCCTCCCAAAGGATCAGGGGTCCCCTTTAATCATGTTGACACTCTCGTTGAGCATTGCCAACAATGCAGTTGTATCACGCCATGTAGCACATTGCAAACATTGCAGAGTGTGCGGGAGAAAAGAAGCACAGTGCAATGGGCAGAGTACGAACATCAGTAGAGAGATTCACATTGCCATGTAGTTGAACAGGTCATGTTCCCTTTTCTTAGGGCACGGAACGGTAACACTTTACCCGTGCCTTACACGACAGCCGAGACAATCCTCCCCCGCCTCTTCCTACCCCTCCGAGTGCCGCCGTCCTCGTCACATCGCGCCGTCCCCACCTTTTCCAAGGGCAGCGGCAGTCCAGGCCTTGGTGGGCCCTGGAAGCGACAGGGCCGTTTTGCCGTTTTTGTTGCCGTTTCTGGCTGCCGTTTTTTTCGCCGCTTCAATGTTCAAGAGAATTGGTTGTCGGAGTCGGTGAAAAACAGCCTTGGAGTTTCCAGGGCCCACTAGGGTCCAGGCCTCCCAGATTCGGGACGATCGAAATGGGTACGGAAAGAACGGGTACGAAGATTACAGCAGTTCTTGTCCATTTTGACAAGGGTTCGCTGTCGGTTGAGACAGAAGGCCGCCTGCCCAACAGCGGCCGCCTGTTGGTTTGGGACAACATGTGTTGTTGGCTTAGTGGGCCCTGGAAACGGCAGCCGTTTTTTTACCGGTCTCGTTTTGTCATTTTTGTTGCCGGTTCCGTTTTGTTGTTTTTTTGCCGGTTCTGTTGCCGTTTGTTTACCAGCCCTGGCGCCGTTTTGT